TAAATATAATTGTATTTAATATTTGGCTCAGAGACAGAGTCTGCAGCAAGTGACATGCATGTTTTATGGGACTGATGGCATATCATCTTGTGGTATGGTGATCTGTTGCACTGTGGTTGTTGTTGCACAATCTTCTATCAACCACTACACCTTCATATCTGCAAACCCATAACAACATACCAAACTGTTGGTGCATTGCTTTAGTACATTATCTTGGCTGTGTCAGATTTTTCAGCCTCATTATAGTCTGCTTCCTCCCACTTCCTCCTCATCACTGATGTGTCCTCGCGTTGAGAGACTGCAAAAGGCAACCCACAAATGCAAATTTCACACCTACAATCAACTTCATGCCCTTTGCTTTGTCTTCTGCACATTGAGTGACAAAATATACCTCAACACTGATGCACAGTTTATATGTGTAAAGCTTCTACTGCTAAACAGTTCATTCACACACCTTTGAATATAAAATGCTTTTGTACTGCACAGTGAGGTTTGAGTACAGAGCTAAAGGAACAAAACATACCCTGTATGCAAATAATAACAGATGAGACAGAGGGATATTGTATGTAGATGTTCATTGTTTTTTGTACTTTCCCCCATCCTCTCTTTATTTCAATCCACTCCAACTACTTCCTGTGTCATTTCTGCACTCTGCTGTTTTTACCAAAACCTTCTTCTTCAGTTCTCCCTCACTCGCAGCCCTCCTCTTGCTCTCCCTCTCCAGCTCTCAGCATAGAGAGTCTGTCCTCTGGCTCAGACCACAGCTCCTCCCAGCCCCCCTTGAGTGGCAGTGCCAGCAGCGACCAGGAACACGCCTTCACCAAAAGTCTCTCAGAGCCTTCCATCTGTTCACCGTGTGACTCTACGGCCTCCCCCTCCTCCTCCTCGACCGAGCGCCTGCCACATCCTTCCCCCAGCCCCTACCCTTCTCCCATGCCATCAAATGCCAGCTCAGCTCCAGCCACCCCACAGACCAGTCGCAGTTCGGGGACCAAAGGGGCTGGAGCCCCTCCACCACGACCCCTGACGACACCCAGCCCACTGGCCTCAGGGGGCACCCAATCACACATCAAGGTAATAGGACCACCTCCAAAAAAGCAATATAAAGCAATGCGTTTTGCACATTATATAAATCCAGAGGTCTGTCCTGCTGTTCTCGTTTTAGCGGATATGTAAGGAGAACCCGTTCAACAGGAAAGCTTCTCCCTCCCCTGCTAAATCCAAAAACAGACCACCCAAAGGCCCTCGTCCTGCCAGACCCCCGGCCCCTGGCCATGGCTTCCCACTAATCAAACGCAAGGTATTAAAACTAAAGAATCAGCTTCAGCATAGAAGCAAAATGGTTAGAATGCACATTTCCAATTCTGGGTCAAACACAGAAGAAGTACTCAAATGACCCATTGTGCCCAAACCTCCCTGCAGGTGCAGTCGGATCAGTTTATCCCCGTGGAGGACATCCACGGGGAGATGGGTCAGCTGGAGAAACAGCTGGATGAGCTGGAGCAGAGAGGAGTGGAGCTGGAGAAGAAACTGAGAGACAACCCTAATGGTATCGTGCAATGCTTTTAGGGGTGTTCCTCGAGTCCCCACATGAAAGTTTCACTATATTCAAAACTGAAACATTACTTTCCTGGAGAATATGAATCACAAATTGTCACTTAGGCAAGAGGCAAAGTAGCCTAGATGCCTTTATCTTGCCTAAAAAGAACAATAAATAGAATGTCAATTAAATATGTATCCTTCTCTTCCTCTGTTGTGATCACAGATGAAGATGAAGAGCACCTGTTGGTGGACTGGTTCACTCTGATCCACGAGAAACACCTTTTAGTCCGACGAGAAGCTGAGCTGGTGTACACGTGAGTTTCAGGCTGCAGGAAGAGGCAGATGTTTGTAGTGTTTGACCTCTGTGCCCATCAGTCATATAACCTGACACCAGAGTGACCCACAATCTGTCATGTGAATGTGACACCAGTGTTGCAGATTCCTTCAATCGTCAGTCACTTTAATTACAAATAACCGCTTCATTAATGAGTGAACTAGGATATGGTGGTTCTAATTCATGATGACACAGCTGTACGTGAGGGTTGAGACTGAAGCTGTGTATTCAGCCATTGTTTGGAGGAAATATGGTTGTGTGGAACAATGTGAGCATACTGATGGACAGTGGAGAAGTAGATTGTGTTGTAGCAAAATTTTGAGATGTTTCTAAAACAAAGTTGATTTTAACATCAAATAATTTGAAAGAGAAAATCTCAAACTATACATGGAATAGAATCAGATAAGCATACATACAATATTTTTGCTACATAAGCTGTTTGGAAAAGTCTTGTTTTTAGGGAGGATGAGATGTAATAAATAATAATTGGAGGATACCAGTTTCTAACACGCCATGTGTATGTTGCTCACTGCAGGGCGAAGCAGCAGAACCTGGAGGAGAGGCAAGCTGATGTGGAGTATGAGCTGAGGTGTCTTCTCAACAAACCAGGTGTGCTTGGCCTTATCACGTATGGCCATATTCATTGCCTGTTTGTCTTGTGTGTTATGTGTGAGTCGTGTCACACTTTAGCTACACATCTACACACAGATTACACTAAAGAAGAACCACTTTATTCTGACATGTGCAACAAAAAACGCTTGATGTTAAACAATAGTATTTCCATTTCCATTCACTAAAACATGCCATACTTTAGAACAGCAGTAATTGTTACATACACCGCATACACCACTCAGTGCTACACCCATCAACAGTGAAGGACTCTCCGGTGAGTTATCTGCCCTGACAGGAAGGTAGATGAAATAGCATGTGCATTTACACGTTTACTTACTGGTATTACTGTTGCATGGATAATTGATAAATCTTCCAAACACATACAAAGTGTGCTCGTAACTCTATTCTGATATTTATTATATATATTATATAATAAATAATATATGAATAGTAAATGGTATACAATAAATAATTCATCAACCTCCCATTCCTTCTCAGAGAAAGACTGGACTGACGAGGACAAGAGCCGGGAGCAGGAGCTGATGGCTGAGCTGGTTACCATCATTGAACAACGCAACCAAATCGTCAACAACATGGACCAGGACAGACAGAGGTAATCAATAGCTCCGCAGAGAGCCAGGATGCACTGATCAGTGATGTTTGCAACTACCAGTGATCTAACAACCTTTCTGTCACAGGGAAGAAGAGGAGGATAAACTTATGGAGGCCATGCTGAAGAAGAAAGGTAGGAATGATGAGTCAGTTTCATTTGTAGCAGGTGAAAGACTCTTTAGTCGAGAGCAGTCACTAAACATTAAAACCTATGTGAGTTTTAATATCAATTTATTTCTTATTTTCTTCCTCATCAGACTTCCATAAGGATCCGGACAGCGACCAGCAGAAGAAAAAAGCGCCAAAGTTCAAACCCATTAAGGTGCTGAAGCGGCTGAGCCATAAAGGAGAACCAGGCAATAGCCACAGCCCTCGCAAAGAGAAGAGCTGAACAACAGAGGACATATTCACTTCCAAGAGGATATGAGACTGTTTTAACAAGACTAAGGAAAATAAAAAAGGATGTGAGAAAAGAGGTACATCAGGTCAAGAAGATGAGATGTTGTTTTCCTGTAAATGTCTTATTAATGACTCTAAAGCGCAACCCAGAACCCTCTCCCTGCTCATGTCTTACTTGATGCTTCTCCAAAAAGTCTCTTCAGTGACTATTATCTGTTGCCTTTGTGTGTTAAAACAGTACAACTACTCAAGTGCTTTAAGAGCTGATGTATTTGCAAGCTCTCTGACCTTTCAAGCTAGTGAAGTTTAGATTAGGTTTCTACACTACTGCACTGATTTGTTGTATGTTCTCGCTTCACTTTCCCTGCATTGGACAGCCACTCTGCCCTCAAGGTTCAACAGTCTGTCAGTTCACCCTGAATGAATCAGTTGGATGCAATTTTATCCCTGGTATCTAATGAGTTTTTAATATGTTTTACTCACACCTTGAAAACCCGTCTCCTGTGCTCCTTGCGTTCAAAGGTCAGTAGATGGATATCTGAGAAGGGTTTATGTCATGTCTGGTTTGAGCCTGTGGTACTAGTGAAAGTAAAAGTTTTTTTTAGTTTTTTTTTTTTTTTAAATGAACCCTGCTTTAAATTTTGAAACATCTACCCTTGAACAAAAGGTCAATGAACAATGGGATACATAAACGGTTCTAGCTGCTTCATTGTGAATGTTTGTTGTTTTCGTCATTTATGTAAATGCATACCATCAAACACGTGGATGAACGCAGACACAAAAGTGGGATTCAAAATCAGACAGACTGAGAAAAGTTGTGGAGGACAGTGATATAGAAAGTACTAAACTGCAGATGTCTGGTAGAAAGTTTTATTAATATGAAAGGTCACACATGCAATAATGAATATTAGAAAAGGCAGATATTCAGTATTTTAACAACTGTATATGATAGTTTTAACCATTGGGGGAAACCTGAATATGCAATCATTAATTTATATTTTACTATGCCTTTTCCTTGTTTCAGTGTTTTGCCTTTTAAATTGGAAAAAAAAAAACATGTTAATATTGAGACTGTATGAGTGCCATTATTTAATTGCATATGTGGACTAGCGTCATTTAGCTAATGTAAATGCCCGTATTGTTTACACATTCTGTTCCTGTTTTGGCATTGAGATTGTCTGGTTGTCCTCCATTTTAAATGGTAATCTCTGTTGTGTCTGTTTCTGCTCTGTGCCTGTCTTCTTGTCCAGCTGAAACCAAGGGCTTCTGTAGCGCTATACATTGTCCTAAAACAGCAGCAGGATTATATAAAAATATTGACACTGGAAGGCAGAGGAATAAAATAAGTTAATGCAAATAGATAATGTTTGTTTCTTGTCAATGTAATGCTTTCACGGCCCGACAGCATGTTTTGTCTTCACTGCTGTATTGTATCACACTCATTGTAATGCACTTCACTCAATCAATTCATAACCTGAACATGTGTTCGTGTTAGGTGTTGAATGGTTCTGCTGTTATATTGCCTGCACCACATTTCCAAGTAATTTCCAGGTATTGAGTCAGTGGTCAGTCTCTTCCACATTTTCTGTCTGTTCTGCACTCTCCTCTTTCCTCTTGGATGTCACTGCATCCTTCATGGAACTGCGCGCCTTGTCCAGTATCTCCAGTTCTCTGATTTTCTGGATTGGAGTCATGACACAACACAGGTTTCAATGCAGTTGTATTTCAAAGAGAATAGATTTTACCTTTTCCCTTTCAGTATGCACAGAATGTGAACCTAATGCCAGTTTAAGGATCTATTTGCGATGCTACTGATCTGCCCGTCAGCACCTACTTACATTGTATATAAGATTAAGATTAGATTTGAAGTTACAAAAACCTTTTTCAAAATACAGTACAGCATAATACAGAGTAATCTGAGCTAAAGTGTGAACCGTTGCTTATTTACCTGGGATATTTCATTGTTGATGATGCTGATGTACTGCTTCTCCTGACCTAGAGAGGCCATATCTGCCAGAAACTGTCTTCTCTCCTCTATCTCATCCAGAACTACAGAGGACACAGACACAAGATAATATTAGGCTTATTCAAGGGGCAGTGGACCTACCTATTTAGGCTGAAATGATCAGAAACAAGACTATCAACATGATCATCTTGCTCTCTTACACAGAACATTTTACTGTAACTCTGTAACTCTTCTCCATCATCTTAGTCTCACCTTCCTGATACTCGTCTCTCTCTATGATGTCTGGCTTCCAACATGTAGGAACCTTTTGGGAAGATGCAGCTGTGGGCTCCTCTTGTCCTGTTGCCAATATATTCTGAAGCCTCCTCTTCTCTTTCTCTAAGTCTCCTAAAATAAGAGCGAAATAAGGAGAGTGACAATATGACAGATGGTTTCTCAGGATGCAGAAGATTAAAAAAAAACTGTGACTACAAATTTAGATAGATTTAGTGACAAATGACCTGTATTGCAACTGTTTGCAACGTAAGCCTGTAAAAACACATTCAGAACAAGTAAAGATGTCGGCTTCAAGAACGTACTTGTGGGAGCGGGGCAGAACTTTTCTCTGACGTAGCTGTTCCCAGACTGACAAGATTCAGCGCTGCGTCTCTGAGGCTTGGCTGGCAGGCGTTTCTGCATAGATTTACTGGTTTTAGGCTGAGGGGGAGAATCTGACGATGTGGGGTCAGGGGGCAGTGGCAAAGCTGCTCCATCTGTGGAGGAAAAGATTTTAAAAAATAAAAGTTTTCAATTTTGCAATGTAGTAATGCTTAATGATTCGAATAATGTATTGAGGGAGTAGTGTAGCAGAAAAGTAAATGCAATGCTCATTGGGCAGTTGTCTATTTTAATTAATGCCATGCAAATGTGGAGCTAATTGACATTTCAATGTAGAGACAGGACTCATCAGAGGGCCAATAAAATGTGATATTTTAACAATATGTTATATGCTGAGTATTGTAGGAAAGATGCCCAGATGTCCAAGGACTCAAACTTACTCTTCAGACATTCATTGATCTGTTTTTTCTGGCGGTTGGTGAGACTTGACTCCTGCATCATTACTGAGCAAAGGGAGGAACATGATGAAAAATAGACAGCATAAAACAGCGGTAAACACTTAAAAGGTAAACACACATACACACAGTCGGTCCTCTATCTGTGTATGTAGCATTTATACCTAACTATCCACACCAGAACATCAACAAGCGCATCATCTCACATCTTAGCATATCCTGGGTCTCCTTGCTGTATGGAGTGGCCTTGGCGTTGTTCCACAGCCCCCTGCCAGCTGTTCTTTGTGAAGAGGCCTCCATCTGCGATCTCAAAGACAAATAAAATACATTACCCACAATCCCTGGGGTGTAATTTAACGTTGTCTCTGTTATATTGCGAGCTACGGTTAAGTTGCAATTTGTGAGTTTGAACAACTCTCTGAGCAAAGAAGCAGCCTGTAATGATATAATTTAAAGACAGATCGTGGAGTTGCTCCAAAGACACCGGATGTCTGACAACCACTTTTTTCCATTTGGCAGCTGTAAGGCCACCATAAGAGTAAAACTTTGCTTATAATACTATGTCCAATAAAAATAGTCATGGCCCAAATTTCCAAAATGTGCCACTTAAATATCATCAGTAAAATTTCTGATGCTCTAGGGAGACACTTGTGATTGTAGATATTGGTTTTACCGTTCAAGATCACTGAAATATCTCAATTTAGCTTAGCTAAATTCTGTTTACGTTAGATCTGGCTAACATTGCTCTTGCTCAGTGGCTAATAACAGCTGAATGTCAGAAGCTTTACACGAAAGAAACTAATGACAAAATACATATAAGTTGACAAACAATACAAATAACTTACTGAAACACTTCTTTATTTATCACAAGTCCTTCGTACACACACTTAGAGTTACTCACTGTGAACAGCAGCGTCTTCTCCCGTGAAACTGAGTGATGTTGCTATAGCAACCAACAAAAAACTTTGCGTTAAGGCAACATAATGATACGAGTTTTTGCTCCAAACTTCAGATAATGTTTGATCACATTTGTTTTTATCAACGGCCTCTCTAAAAACTGATTGATTGCCTGTGTCGTTAATTTCCCTTTCCACTTGTTATTGTTTGTACTAAGAGAAGCGCAGTGACAACATGTGGCCACTAGATGGAGCCAAATACCGATTGACTTTTGTGTTGATACTGCATCAGTTACTATTGATAGTGAGCAAAATAAGTTTGTCATATATTCCATGAAAAATATTTATCAAAGCCAGGGATATTTTTAGTGTGGTGCTATCAGATGAGAACAAAACATACCATGGTAATGTTTTTTATTTTTATTTTGCTGCCACTTAGGTCCACTTTCCCCACAGTCATTAAAAAATCCATATTATATCACTAAGCACAAAATTAATGTTCTCAGAAAGAATATTAAAAAATATATATTTATGGAAATTAGATGATGACATTAAAACAGAATCATAAATAGTCACTTAATAACATAGTCACTTAATAGTCACCTAATATACAGGAAAGTCCCTCACATTAAACTGGCAATTATGTGGCTCTGTATGCAAAGCACAAAAATCTCACTTCTTTTTCTGTTCCATCCAGATGATTTCATAAATATTTTATGGTATTTCTTTGACCATTTACAATGCCTTAATTACATGTAGGTATGACTACGTACAGCACAGGTTATCTCTTCTTGGTTTTGTCACTTTTTGTCAGCAATCACACAGAAATTCACACATTAGCCTTGAGCCTTTAGAAGTGAAGTCTGCTTTGGTAAACAAACAGGCTGTAGATGAACTTGTGTAATGTGTTTAAGGCCATAAAGAGGCTGTTTTGTGAAGCGACCCACTAGAAGCTTTTGCCCATTGTAATGGATGTCTAGTCAAGTCGTCACTATGAGGGAAAGAGTCTTTATCAGTGGTGGGCTAGTCATCGGCGATCAGCAGCAGTCAGGGGTCCATTATCTCTGGGAAGACAGCAGCCTGCCTCTGCCCCATGTCAAAAGATAAACAGCAGCCAGAATATAATCACCTTTTACACACAGGTCTTCTCAGAAGTCAGAACTGCACGTCCTCACTGAGAAGACAAAGACTGATCTGTATATGCAAGTGTATGGAGTGTTTTAAAATTATTACTGTGTTGGCTCACTAAATAGGACGATGTTGTTATGGACTTAAAACCAGAATATGAAATGTATTAGATAGTGGTGTGTTGTTCATGAGATATGTCAGCCTACTTTTATCAAATAATAGGCCTATTTGTTTATGTACTCACACTGAACCTCTGTAAGTAGCTCTGTAATAAAAAATAATCTCTGATCACTGTTTAAATTAACATTACATTAATTCAAACATGTTTCTGTCAGTGCTTCACACATCATGTTAATATAAAATGTCCACACGCTTCACCATACATGCACCAACGCACTGCACTCTGTGCCAAAGCATGCTTTATTAGATAGAGGCCAGTCCTCCGATAATGACTAATGTTTACTTGTGAATGAAAAATAGTGAGGGCCGTGTTGATCTGCAGTGTTGAGTTAATTTTACAGTATTTCAATTAAGTTAATTACTAATTATTAATTAATTTAGTCAACTAGAGGTTAACTATAATTTGTAGTAGCTTGGCAGAAGCTAACTAACTTTTACTTTTAGATGATATTGTTTGGCTTTTTTGTTATTTTCAGGTGTGAAACCAAATATCTTTTTATTTTTTCCTAAAAATATATATTTCTTAAGTATGTTTTAACTGTTTGTTAACATACTGTTTATAGTAACTAGATACTACAGTGCTACAGTACAGTTGAATCTCTCTCCCTTATTTTTTCTTAGTGTGTCCATGATTTGGTTTTTGTTTTTTTTTTATGTTCTGACTTTTTATGCCACTTGAGATGAAAAGACAAGATGAAGTCACCTTTCTTTTCACTTCTGCCAGTGAGAAACCCAGACAGGATGTATGGTTTGTGTATGTAGGTAAACAGAAAAGTCTCACAGGAAACGTTCCTGTCATGCACTTTGTTTCAAATCACTTGAAATGATTGATTTCATTCTCATTATTATGTGATTCCCTATGTGACATTGTAACTACAGATATAATCTTTTGCAGAATTTACATTTTTTTTATTGCTATTTGCAATAATTCAACTATTTTCTATGTGAAGTGACTATTATCTTGAGAAAACAATGAAAGCAGCTTCCCAGCACAGTCCATGTTTCAACAAATATTGAAGCCTAGTTACCTCAAAAAAGGTTTTTGCCTCTTAAGACACCAGAGAAATTCATTCAATAAAGATGTTCAGCACTGATTTTAACATTAATATTACATTAATATTTAGTTATAGTTAGTTTGTTAGTTTGTATTATATGCACAATGTATTTGTTTATTCACACATTGGCGCTCATCAGTTTTTTCAGAGTTGTGTTTTTACTCTGAATCCCACAGAACAGGAAGGCAGTCAGTTGAGGTGAGATAGCACAGTTTCTTGGTGAGTGTTAATGAACAATCTTAAGGCATAAAGAGAAGTAGCCAGCTCAGAAACTCATGTTTACGCTCCACCTCCTAACGGTCAAGACGTACATGAAAAAGAGAGATTTGAAGTAAGACTCACAGCTGACAGAGATAGACAAGCAAGAGGAGGGAGAGATAGCAGGGGAGGAATGGAGAAGAGGAGACCGCTTTAAGAAACTGTTTGTGAGGCCTTTTAGCTCTGAGTGGACTGTAACTGGGATGAGTGGCCTGGTGAGCTACAGGGTTTGACTTTCTGTTAGCTGAGGATAAGCCGATCATGTAAAGAAAAAAAAAAAAAACAGAAAAATAGAAAAAGCAAAAAGAGGAAAGAAAAACTTAACTGTTGTTGTATCAAAGTGCTTGATGGCTGTTACACAGGCCGTGCTCCCTTCCTTCAGCTCCTTCTCCAGCCTCGCTCACTCCAGTGACAATATGAAAGTAAGTATTATTTTGTTTGAGTCCTACACAATAACTGAAAAAAGTCTGAATTGATTTAGATATTGTCCAGTGCAACCTGCTGCCTTACCTAAAGAAATGACAGACGGGGCCAAAGCAACAAATGCAATTCCATATCTGAGAATATCATGAAGGTAATGTTAACCTTTGCCTTGTGTAATGCTCATTGCTGTGGCAGTCATTTGTACATGACACACGTAATTTACTCTTTATTACAGTTAGTTTTTATTTTACAAGTGTGTCCATTTGAATTTGTGTGTGTAAAAAGCATGTTTTCCTGTGTTCGACCGGGTTAGAAGAAGGACTTTCACATTTCTGTTTCTTATGCAGACGCACGATATACTGCAAAGAGAAAAAAAAGGAAATAAAAAAAAAAATTCAACAGCTCATGTATTTAGACACTGTTGCCAAGTGCCTGCTCACTGTTGGAACTGCTGGGTTTCTCTCTATAACCTTACTCAGTAAAGTGCCCTGACATAATGTATGTTATGATTTGGCACGATAAAAATAAAATTGAAAATTTGATTGAATTATTTAATTATTATCGCAATGACATTTTCTGTAGAGTTTGAGTCCTCAAGAATAATGTCCAGACTCCATTACTGTCTGAACATTATGAGAAGCCGCACTTGTACTGTAGCACTGAACGTGTTTTTAGTTGTTGACTGGGAGGAACGCACTTCCAGTCACTCTGATGAAATCCAGCTCTCGTTCTAATGGAGTTTGAATGCACTTGTTGTAAGTTGCTTTGGACAAAAGTGAGTAATTGTTCCTGCTGTCCATACTGGCTGAACACAAATCCCTTCCTAAATCAGTTGCAGTAAATGATTAGGGACAAAATCCATAGTCATTGTTACGTGTAAAAATTAAAAGTTCAAATGTCTTTGAGTCTTTTTAGTACCAAATTTCCTCTCTGTGTTTCTACTGACAGTGTTTCCTTGGTGGCAGGATTGTTCATTTCAGTTTAGTTCAGTTCAGGTTATTTTGGTCCTTATTAATATTTATACACATATAAATAAAACATGACAATATTGGCCAAAAAGGTGTAGGCTGAAGCTATAGTTTATTACGCCAACCCTCTCTTTATAATGTTACATGAAACAGCAACCCTCTCACTACAAGCCAATGTAAAGTCAAAGAAAAACTTTAGGCAAAAACGGAAAGAAACTTTTCACCACGAAGATTAGACATTATCAAATTAAAAAATAAAAAATAAACATGAAGCAAGATTAGGAGTTCCAGCACGTCGTAACCATTGAGACCAAAATAAAGAAAAGAAGAGAAAAGTAACAAAAAAAAAGACTCAGTTTCATATCTATTTATCACCATATTTTCAAAGATTTCTTTTAAACTACACATTCTTAATTCACTGTCACAACTCATCCATCAGCTGTGAAGTATAAGGAAGAAGTAACAATGTAGGAATTTGGTATTAGAAAGACTAATAACTTTAGAAGAAGGATCCCTTTGCATCTGGCAACAGTTACAACAACTAATAACCCTTCAAAGATTCATATGGGAATGTGAATCCTGTTTTAAGATAGATATGTAAAAATGTGAACCTTTTATACTCTCTGAAAACATCTAGGTGTGGAAAACTGAGGGTGGCTCTCTCCCTCTGGACTCTCTCAGCAACAAACTGTCACCAAGCAGCTCTGAGCAGCTGCAGGTCTCTCAACATATGACAGAGGAGCTCCTAGACGATGACAGCCGGGCATCCTGGGACATTGAGTTCCTGTTGTCTGACTGGAGCAACCCTTCACCTGACCTCAACCCCTCTCTGGAAAACACTGATCAACGGCTCCCACAGCTCGACCCCAACACGGCGTACCAAGAGGCCGGTATGTTTAAGGACCAACCAGGACAGGAGTGTCTGCAGGTGAACAGTGGCAGCCTCATGGCGGAGCTCCTGTCCCCTGCTGAAACCTCAACAGTCCAGCCAGAGCTGTACCACCGTGGTTATAATGGTGAGCAGACAGGTCGGACTTCAGTTCCCAGTCTACCTAATGTAGATCAGTTTGGCTTCCCGCAAGGAAGCAGAGGAAACCTTATTAAGGTCACATCATGGGACTTCAACCCCTACTATCCCCAGCAGCACCCGACTGTGGTCAATTTCCCTGACAACAGGTTCATCCAACCTCAAGCCGTGACCCCTGACCCCCGACACTACAGCTACATGCCCAACTTCAATCACAACACCAGCCTTTTCTGTGACTACACTCACGGCCAGGCCACTGGTCATCTGCCCCTCCACCAGCAGCCCTTGCTGGTCAGACCCCAGCTGCCCCCTGCTGGGGTGGAGGGGAAGCGTGGTCGAAGGACCCCAGGGAAAAAGAGGCCCGCCATCCACAGCTGTGAATACCCTGGCTGCAGCAAGACCTACACCAAGAGCTCACACCTCAAGGCTCACCTTCGCACCCACACAGGTAAACCAAAGAAACAACAAGAGAATCTGTCCCATTTCATCTCAAGATGTGTGTGTTTGATACTTACCATTAGTTTTATTGTCTGTTCATCAGGGGAAAAGCCTTACCACTGTTCATGGGAGGGCTGCAGCTGGAAATTTGCCCGTTCAGATGAGCTGACACGTCACTACCGCAAGCACACGGGCCAGAAACCCTACGAGTGTCTGCTGTGTCAGAGGGCCTTCTCCCGCTCTGACCACCTGGCTCTGCACATGAAGAGACACACCTGAAGCTATCACACACACACACACACACACACACACACACACACACACACACACACACACACACACAAAGAAATGAAAAGGTAGAAAACTTGATGACTTGGATATTGAGTGCTTGTCAGTGATGACAGATATTGCCTGAACATGTTTCCAGTGTTAACTTTAATAAACATGTACTTGAGTACTTGAGTAGTTGGCAGGTAAACAGTACAGGTTCACAGGTAGACTTAGACTTAGGCTGTGAAAACTGACAACGCAACCAGTGGTTGGTTGGTGTCACAAATCATTGTGTACATGCTGCCTGGATGTTGTTGATGTTGTAATTGTCAGATTTCTTGTCTATTTCTGGTTTACTTCAGAAGACAAATGTGACAAATCTAATTCAAAATCTTTCAACATATGAAATTCTCTTTTTTAAAGAAACAATGGATATCCAAAGCTTAAAAAAACTGACCATCAGATAATGATTGCTTAAGCACAATTAAAAAAAAAAAAGTATCAGAATTGATGTAGCAGAAAGAGTGATATCGTGGCATGGCATCTACATCACCCACAGTTCAGTTGGAGATTCAGGTGGATTCAGGTGTGTTATGCTAGTAGCAGCTGATGTAGCCATGAGTCTCCAGCCTCAAGCAGAGATGAGGAGCAGGCTATAGACCTTTAACTCCACACTCCAAGATTTTTATTGTTTATTTTCAAACTTGTTGTCTTCAGCCCCAACTGAAGATGACTCAAGTGACATCACTTGAGGCAATACATCAGCCTTCATGCATCTCCCTCTGGAGCCACAAAAGACTTTATACAACTTGTTTCACAGGTGTAGTTGCACTCTACCAGACCTGTCACAGGATCTGACACGTGAAACCGGCACACTTCCCCTTTAATGTGACAGTCTAGGTTTGTTTTTAATTCCAGTTTAGATTCCATGAAGTCAAACTGGTTACCTGGACATCGTTAAGACACATAAGAGACACACTTTGAGGACCTTCACTGGTGTAATGATATCCCAGATTTCCCAGTGGTTCTCAAACTTTTTCTGGCATGTCCCCCTTCAGAAGCCAAAAAAGTGGACTAACACTGTACACACTATGTAGACAGCAGACTTAAACACTAACAAAAGAACTACCAAAAATGTGTGTAACATAGGTTATAACAGTGTATCCAGTAGGAAGTCATGGTTCATTCACAAAGTCATGAACACTGAGCTGCATCAGCGCTGGGATGATCTGATAACTATGTCTGATTTCCCTCTCAAGCAAGAACTTCAGTGCCGCCACTGTGGTGATAATGATTGTAACTTTACGTATATGATTGTACAGTTAGTGCAGGGTTGTGTATTTTTGTCATCTAACTTTATTTTTGTCTGTTTGGGGAATTTTAATTTAAGAAAAAACATGTATGCTTTTTTTCTCTCTCATCAAGCAGAATTCAAATGTGTAAATAATCTGCATCTTTCTCAGTTGTCTATTATCATCTACCAATGAGCAACATATTTATTAACATGATCTTTTATATCAACAGAAGATATTATATTATTATATAATGTTTTTCTATTCTCAGAGGAGTGCTTTAAAGTTTTTTTTTTTTTAATTATTGCTATCGTTGTCATAGATCCAATAAAGACCTCTAATGCTGTAAAATTGCCCCTCAGTGTAACATGATTTATTTAAACAGCTCATCTTGAATAAATCTAAATATGTGCAAATACCAAGTGTAATGTCATCCTTTGGCCTTTAGGTGTCAGTCTTCTGCTGCTGTGCCAGCTCTCAGGCCCGCAGGCTGGTATCAGCAGTCTGTTGGCAGCTGCATGTGCAGTGTTTCTAATCTGGGTGAGGGTGATGTGAGGCTGAGAATCTGTTTATGTAACTCAGCACTCACTGATTCATCCTGATTATGTCAGATGATGGAGATCGTCATCACATTATGAAGCTCCCTCTCCCTCTCTCTCTCCCTCTCTCTCTCCCTCTCTCTCTATCTCTCTCTCTCTATCTCTCTCTCTCTCTCAGAAACACATGGACACATGCACAGGCATGCATGGCCTCTGGAAAGACAAACAGAGAAAAGCAAACAAAATTATGCACTCACTTGCCAACATTTGCAACATGTGCGTATGCACATACACAGAAATGAATTTACATGCGTTAGTAAACTACGTTAAAACAACCAGAGGTAAGTTTTGTTTACATCCGCCGTGACCCATGGCCTAACATCTCCATCACCAGGGTCATTTCAGCTGCATAAAACATCACATGTGAAACAGAAAAGAAAGAGTCAGATGTTCTAGTAAAGCAACAATAAAATAAAATCAGATCACAATATACAGTACGTGCAAAAGATAACTGCTTATTGATAAAACTGATGTGATAAGATATACTTTGGATGAAGACAATAGTCTACTTAAAATGCTCACACATTTATTTGAATCTTAAAGGTGAATTACATCCTTCACAACCAGTCAGCCTCCAAGTTGTAATATGTATCTCTTATGGCGAGGCTCCAGCTCAATGAAAGATGTAGAGTCCAGTGTTTGACACATGAAATATCCACAACTAAAAGTAAAGATATTCCACGCTCTGCTTCTTTGATTTTGGCCATTAAATCTGTCCCTCAGCTTTATGGAAGTGCCACAATAAATTGCTGGAGTACCCCTTTAAGAAGTTTACAGTGGCAGATTTTAAGGAAGGTTTAGAGTAGCAGTTTAGAGATAGTGTGATTAATCTCTATTTGGTAACAGCAGTGAGCTCCACTCCGAGTTTCCTTTTTGGTGTACTATCATGGCTATGATTGGATTCTTAAACCTGCTCATCCGGGGTGGCATGATTACAAGCGAGCCAGTAACACCCAAGCTGCACACACACATCAGCAACACATTGGTGCCCTACTCACAGCCAAATGTACACACATGGAGTAATCCTGATAATTATAGTGCAACAGATATACTCCGTGTATAATCTGTTATCCACTGGGACTGTGCTCGCTTAGCAAGTTATTCCACTTCACTAACAGGTTGGAGATGATCATGAGGCTCCATCTGCAGTATGAGTTTGTTTTAGCGCTGTGTTCGAGGGTACGTGATCCTGGATTTAGAGATGACACGAGGACAGGGGCAGAGCTATGACCTGCTGTGGCCCCGAAAAAGAACAAACTCCTAAACAAATGGCCTCTCTTCTTCCACTTTCTTGTTCCTCCTTCCTTGTTTACATCATGTCACATATACCTAAAGAGGATATTATGCTGGCATTATGCATGACTGAAATGTTGACAGCCTGCCAAACAAGCACTGCAGCATGAACATGACATGAAATATTTACCAAGAAAAATATAGTGGTCTGATCAGAGGGTAGCAGCAGCTGAAGAGGTCAAAGCTTAAAAAACAATAATTTTAATAATGCTTGTGACCAGGCCAAGGCTTAAAGTCTGAAGAGCATGTGCTCTAAACAATTCCCATAATGAAATGTTTTGGCATGCGCTTATCATCTTTTAGTAAATGACGACTGTTCTGTAAATTTACAAGTTTCACTTTCTGTAAATCCCCATGGCATAATGTAAAATTATAAATGGAAAAAGCACATTAAACCCCTTAATTTGATTTTTGAGGGAAGGTTCGCTGAGGACAGATGTGTAATTAAATAACCTCTCTCTGTCTTGTTTTCTTCTGTGGAGAAACGCAAATTCATCCGTCTCTGTGGAAGACTTTCTCCATGGAGAGGACATTTCAGGACAAATGAAAATGTCAGATTTAATCTGTGTATGTTGAAGAGAAATACTATAAAGTCTTAAAAACATACTTGTATTGATGCATATAAAAATATGCTTTATATTTTAACGATAACTACAGCTATCATTGATTTTAAAATAAAGACATTTTCAGCAACAAAAACATTATGGTCCACTCTATGCAAACACGCGTCCTTTAACTTGCTCGTCCTGAAGGAGAGACACACGTAACATCCTGTGTGACCTCAGCACAACAACAGTGTTACTGAAAGGAAGCCGAGACGTCTCTTACGCAGAAGATCCACCTCAGTTCACCAGACAAACGTCTGCACACACACAGTCAAAGAGAAACACACACTTCGACACCATTCAGTGTACAGAATATTGTAGCATGAATATTTTAGGAGCTCTGCCTCTCCAGTGAGCGTCCATAAATGGATTTTCTCTGCATTATTAAAGCCTGCTACTTTAGGACAGCATTGATACCAGCACCTCAAACTGAGATATCTATTTACATTTGAATTTTGTAGGGGTTACACATTCATGGACACAGCCAAACTGGCAACCCTCCATGTGGGAGGAGAGATAAGGATTTCTAAATGCAGATAAACCTGTCCAGCACAATGAGCTGCTCTTTCTATTGGCTTAACTAATTCAATGCATAACACTGTAAGTTAATATGTGTGTGTAGAAATATTGACTGAACTGTATGTTTGTGATTACACAACCTCACATAATGGGAATCTTGGCCTCATGTCCAAACACAGGATGAGGATTAGAGTGGTGAAAGCCGCTGCAGCACTGACACCGGTGAGAGGGATTGTGAGTCCAAGTGGATCGAGGGATGTGAGACGGAGGGAGAGCGAGAGCGAGAGCGAGAGAGGGGGGAGGAGAGGGAGGGGGGTTCTCCTGATTTGAACTTGAGCGTACACACACAAAGTCAAACAAGGCCACTGTCCGATCTGTGCTCAGGCAGTCAATTACTTTGTGCCTTTGTTAGTCAAGGCTTTAATGAAACTTGACACACACATGAATGCACATGGACACATATTTGTACTGCTATATTTGTGGGGACCTACACTGACCAAATGCATTCACAAGATCCTCTCCCTAACCTGAGATAGGTACTTCAGCGTAGGGGACGCACAACAGATGGTTTAAAATGTTGCTGTTGTGTTTCGGCTGCCCCCTCGTGAGGGGTCACTGCAGCAGATCACCTTCCACATGTTTGATTTGGCATATATTTTACGCTGGGGATCGAACTGCGAACCCAGGGATCAGGTTAGAATGTCAAGTAAAAAAGCCCTGGTGAATACCAAGGTCTTTCAAACTCCTCCTGCCCAGTTTATAAGACAGCCTTTCTGTTAAATGCTTTAAAATCCAATCTCAGTCCAAATCTCACATCAAGTTTGGACATTTTCATGTGAGTTATCTTCTCCGACGTGACAAAACTCAACAGAAGTGATTACACAGCTGATGTACAGACTGGATACTACCCCTCATGACTAGTAAACTAGCGGTTAGCACGGTCGCCTCACAGCAAGAAGGTTCTCAGTCGTGAATATGAGTGTGAGCGGTTGTTTGTCTCTATGTGTCAGCCCTGTGAGAGACTGGTGACCTGTCCAGGGTGGACCCCGCCCTCGCCCAATGTCAGCTGGGATTGGCCCCAACACCCACGACCCTATAAGGATAAGCAGTATGGATAATGGATTGATGGATGACTAGGAAACTGACTTTGACAAGCAAATTTGGGGGAGTAACCATCACAACATGCCTAATCTAAAACCTAACCCTAACTTCAACCTAAACCTGATTCTAGTTCTAACCCTAAATCCAAGTCTTAACTCTCAAACAGTCGTGTGAAGAAGTCTATACGAGGTTTATTTCACCTCCTGTGAGTAAACGATAAAGATACACTAATTTGTTGCTCAATCATTTATCTTTCTACTACAACACTACGTGTGATGAAATGTCAACCATTTGCAAACAAAGCTGCTCCTGGTGTCGTATAGTTTGTAGTTGTTTTGGCCTTAAAAGGCATTATAAGGATAATGTGGATTCAAATTTTGGTTTAAAGGTGTCCTGTGAATTTTTTCTTTAAATTCAGTGTTTCTCACCAAGACGCACAGTGTGTCCTTCAAGTTATGACAAATGTGTTGAATGCATTTTTTTTAACATCCATCTTTACTAGTTTACAGTCTTCTTCCTCCCTGCATTTGTTGGTCATTTCCGTGTTTCCTGGCACATTACTACCACATATACGATCTTAATGTGAAAACGTTAAGATGTGTATTATGTTACCTGTGTAGGTGTGCCTGCACATCTTTGTGCATGTGCATGAAACAAAGAGAAAAGGTGAAAAATGCTCTCTTCAGCGTATTACCTACAGTATCTCAGGCAATTGCTTCATCTACAGTAGACTGTAGAGTATAAGTGTATTTATGAAGAATCCAGTCTGCTGGAAGACAGATGCTTTCCACCTGGGTTAACAAGGTTCAAATGAGAGTTTACCCTCTACATGAAGGCGCACACACACACACACACGCACACAAAAATTGTTACTTTCATATTTCGCACAATATTTGTTATATAATCCATGGTACAGCACGGACACATTGTCAGTGAAGCATGTCCAGTGAAATAGCCATTGTTGAGCTTTTACAGCACCAACCTTCAGCACAACACATGGGGACATGATTAGAGTCATGGAGGGTAAGAGCTGATGTTCAAAGGTGAGTTAGTTCACACACATACTGCACCAGAGAGACTGTGACTTATTGTGACTAATGTCTAAAGACTGACAGAGTCGTTCCTGTGCTGAAACAGACTCACTGTGGTGAGATAGTCTTTTTAGGTGTACTTATTACATGTTAAAGCATAGCTACAGATTGTGTCCAGTTGTCCATTCATTGTTTAGTTTGTGGGTGTATATATAGTCAAACACCCTCCAGATTGAACTTTTTACATTTTGCAATCATCTTTTTTCAGGATTCTTGGAAAAGGTTTTTTTAAAAAAGAAAAAAAAACAACAAAAAAACAACAAAGAAAATCTCAAGGCAGAGTAGTGAAGATTGCCGCAGTTGAGCTGGAAATAGGTGAAATTATCTCAGCCCACTTTCTGATTTTTAGTTACGCTAGTGGTATGTGCAATGTCAGTTGGTCCACAACGCTGGTCCAAGGGGGAAATATCTCAGCATCTATTGGATGGGTTGCCGTGACATAACGTACAAATAATTGTGGTTTGTATGAAGCCTAATGACTTTGATGACACCCTGAGTTTTCCTCAGGCGCAACCAGCAGGTTCACATTTTTGGTTTTGATTGAAATGTTTCAACAGCTATCGCATTGGTTGACATTAAGTTTGGCACAGTCATTCAGAATGAAATGTAATAACTTTGATCTCCTGAGTTTTCATCTGTCACATCAACAGCAATTTTGCCAAACACTTTGGTTTATGACCACATACATGCAAAACTAATGACATTCCCATCGGCCTTAACCGTATTTACTGTTTACTGCTATTTAGCAAATGTTTACATGCTAAACATTATACCTGCTAAACTAATATTGTGTATTGAACTGGTATTGTAAGCATGCTACCATGCTGATGTCAGCATTATCTCAATGTACAGCCTGACAGAGCTGATTGCATGGCTATAGACTCTTCATCTTGTTCAGGAAATAATTCCTGATATAATCATTTCTCAAGACTTATCAGACCATGTATCATGAAGATGATACGCCATTGTATAAAATTCCAAATTTAAATGGATTTTTCCTGGAAACAGATTATCCATCAAGTCTTTTTTTGTTTGTTTGTTTAGAAAACTAGATTTTTATGGATAAAAAATGACATGTTACAATAGATACTTTTTTCTGCTAAACCCTGTGCTCCTAGAATATGTCAGCAGTCATGGGAAAATACTTTTTATACAATAGATAACCTTAAAAAACAGGAGGAATGAAGTGAAATCAAAATGTTTCATTTAAGATAATTTGTTGGCAGCTCATTCAGCTGAACCTCGGGACAGCAGTACAGTTTTCTTTTCTCAGAATTTCACCCCAACGTCCTCTGAATGTGTGTGTACACCACTGCATGTCACAGCCATACACCAGCATGTTCAAACTGATCAGTCAAGGTCATGGCAACAGGTCAATAGTGACACTGTTGTTTCTAAATGCTCCAGAGAGGACATACATACATAAATTAAAGAATGAGAAGTCAACTGTTGCCTTGTTTTGCAGAAACTGGTGAGACTGACAGAGAGACAGAGAGGTCCAGTGAGAAGCATTTCCATGCGCAGGGAGGAAGTATCACTGTCCAGCAGATCGCTCATAGGAACAATGTTCCTTTTTTCTGTGCAACCTCACCCCAACTGAACTTCCAGTACTGCGTAGTCCTCACATGCTCTCTCTCTCTCTCTCCCTCTCCCTGTGTATTACGTAACAGCTCTCTTTTCCATTTACACTATCTACTGGCATTCAAGTGATTAGCTCTCTCTGTATGGCTGTCTTTGCATTCTTCATTTACAATACATGGTTATTATAACTAGATTAAGCCACAGGTGCAGTGACACAGCGATTAGCTTCTTTTGTCCTTACACAGTGAGGCCAACGAGAAGAGAGGAAATACACTGAGTGAGTGACATTACACATCCTCACATGTTTGTTCTTTGACAGTGGAAACCGGTGTGTTTGATAATCTAATGTGATGGAAATAAAAATACAATCATGCGTTCTTTTTGTGCAGAAACAAAGAGAGCGTGTACAAAACACATACTTCTGTGTAACTGTGTTACCTTGAACTGCTCATTATGGGTACTTACCTGCAAAGAGCAAATGAGGACAACTCAGAGCACCATGACGGCTGTGCACACAGGCTTTTGTAAACTAGATGAGCTAATCTAACAGTGACAGTTAAAAAGGTGAAAACAGAAACCTGTTAGTGCTACAGGTGTTAACTGGATCAGCAATGATCCTCTCTTTATCAAAATACATACATAATACATATTACATTACATTTTCTCTGCTCAAACTACAACTTCAGTAAAAAACAGACCTTATGTCCTGAGTTAGAGCTCACTGGATGAGTGTTACAAACTAAAATGTTAAACCCAATACATAGCAGGAAAGCTCTCGTGGATTTAGATTTATGAATATTTTTTGAGGATTCATGACCTAATTAAACCTGTTAAACTGAATCAAACGTGTTGTGTAATTTACTAAGATCATTTTGACCTGTTTCATGCCTGTGTGTGTGTGTGTGTGATGGATAAAGACTGTAACACTGTGGCTTTTGACAATTTCTTCCACTGTTTTACAGTGAAAGAGTAAATGAGTGAAGGTTGAGCATAATAAACTTGTCTGGCCACTGTAAGGCCAGCCAGAATAAAAACTAAAGCATCAGCCCCAGATAAAATCCTCGCTGACGAACAGTATAGACATATACGATGCCTTCTTTGGTGTTGTCCTGCTGGCCCAGGAAAAACTTTAATTCTACATCTATTTTTAGCCAAGCTAATGGCATGACTCCAGGGAGGGGATTGCTGGTCTGTTTTTGGTCTATCACTTTGGTCCAGACTGAAATATCTAGATCATTTTTTTTTTTAATTTTGTACAGGCGTTCATGGTCCCCAGAGGATGAATCCTAATCCTAATTTTCCAAATCCTAACATTTTAAAATTACAAAATGGATTAGCACAAAATTTTATACACATATCTAAGGTGCCCTGGCCATGTATCCTAATAACGTTGCTGATCCTCTGACTTCATCAAGTCCTATACTTTGCTTTGTGAACAAATACCTGCAAAACTAATAATACCATACCATCATACACTGAACTTACATGGCAAACATTATATCCACCTAGCATTGTCACTCGACCATTAGCATTTAGCTCACAGCACCACTGCGCCTCAGCAGCCTCGCATGGCCTTTTTGTCTCAAATATAAACATTCAGGCACCAAGTTGTAAGATTAAATGCTATAATACAAGGGGAGCAGGAGCTAGACCAACACTACGTACCAAGTTAACACAGCAGTCTGTAGCCTGTTTGCATGTGTTTATGTTATTTTGGTTAACAATTTATTTCTAACCTCTTATGTCCTTCCAGCGCCTAAAGTGAAAAAACAAACAAAAAACAGCTTGTTTAAAAATACTTTGAACGCAGCTCTGTTTGGTCCCTGTTACAGTGTTTCTCGTTGGTTTGACTCAGCTGGCTTCCCGTTAGGAGGAGGAGGGGGAGAGGGCAGGAGGAGGGGGAGGAGGAGGGAGGGGAGGAGGAGGAGGGGGGGTCACCCGGGGTGAGGATCCGACCCCGGCTGAACCGATTGATCGGGAAAGAAACGACAGAGAGATGCGGAGCTTTTTAGGAGCAGAAACATGCAGACGACCTGAGAAGCTCCACATGTCCAGTGGACAGCTCCTCGCTCTGACTGAGGAACTTTTCATGAGAGATTTCAGCAGCTGTTTCATTCGTAAGTAAGAGCTCCTATTTATCCTTTTTTTAATTTTTTACTACTGATTTAATTTGTTTTATCGTGCGAGGGAATCTGGCAAAATTTTTATGAAGGTTTATGAATAATATTTTACAGTTATCATGCCACGTCGGATTAAATATGGGAGTACTAACATTATGTCAATAATAAACTATTTAGGATTTAGGGTTTAATAAAAACCTATTGATAGGGATAACTGTAAATGCCTTGTTGTGGTGTCTGGTGAACTAATTGGACACTTAATCAAATTATATAAATGAAATTCAATATTTAAACTGGAATAATCAGCCGTTTCTCTTTTTTTTCAACCAGAAACTTTTAAATTACTCTTTATTAACTGTTTTTACAGTGAATGGTTGCTATGAATATAATTAATAAAAATTTCTCTGGTGAAATATGATATGATAATAGTTTTTGTATCGAATTAGATCGTTGTTATCAGTCTATATTAATATGGCTTTATCCCTCTGAAATGCTCGTAAATATCAGTTTAATCTGAGCGTTTTTTGTTTTATAAGTTTTTTATTATGATGATTTTAATGTCTTCCCTGCTGTTAATTACAACATTCAATTGGCACTAGTATGATGTCGGTTAAATGTTTTGCAACCTTGTGAACAAACTCTGAGCTCATCATATGTGATTGTGTTTTTTCACCACCAGGTGGTGCCAATATAGAGCATTTCACCCTCAACCTCCAACCATCAGTGAGTTCCTAACAGACCCTGCGGCTCCCTGAAGTGATTGAACATGACGGGTCAGACTGTGGGCGCCATCATCCAGGACCTGTCAGTGCCATCACTGCGGGGTGTGGAGGGACTGGAGTCCAGGCCTCGGGGTGGGGCTGGGTCCTTCACCGATGAGGCTGTTTCCATCCTGACCTCCACAAGCCAACTGGCCCGAACCCTTCTGGGTCGCACCTTTGCTCTCAAACACAAAGACAGCCTCGCCAACGCTGAAGCCAAGGCTGGGTGCAGCTGTGATGAAGACAACAGCAATAATGCACGCCGCAAACGGGAGTTCATCCCCAATGAGAAAAAAGACGAGGGCTATTGGGACAAGAGAAGAAAAAACAATGAGGCAGCCAAGCGGTCCAGAGAGAAGCGGCGAGCCAATGACATGGTGCTGGAGAGACGGGTCCTGGGTCTGCTGGAGGAAAACGCACGCCTGAGGGCCGAGCTGTTGGCCCTCAAGTTTCGCTTTGGTCTGGTCAAGGATCCGTCCGATGTGACCATCCTGCCACTCTCTGCATCACTCTGTGCTCATCAACCATCCAGCACAACACATTACTACCAGCCTCACACTGATGGACCCTCATACCTCAACACACAGCAAAGTGCCAGCACCCACTACATTCATCCTCACCCTCTGCAGCAGGCTGCCGTCTACGGGCCGAGGGGAGCCGGGCCTCTGTCAAGTCATAGTGTATCCGAGGAGTCCGGTGTTTCCACCTCATGCAACTCAAATATGGGCAGCCCTGTGTTTTTTGACGACACACTGAGTGAACGTAGTGGGCCTTCTCCGAGGGAGCTGGTGGAGGAGCAGCAGGGCTACGACTCCCACATCTGTCCCCTGGAGGTCAACGAGGGTCAGTATGTAACCAAACAAGACTCACATGAGGGTTTGAGGAGTCTCCCGCACAAGCTCCGATTCAAAGGCCCCGGTGGTAGCAGTGACGGAGGGGAGATGTCTCCTCTCTCTGATAACAGACACAGTGGACCACCTGTAGCTACAGTGGGGCCAAACATCCAGGTGAGGAGCCACCATCAGGTAGGGTGGGACAGTCGGGCAGAGAGTCAGCCTCCTTGGTCCAGGGAGGAGGCCAGTGGTGGACCTGGGCATCAGTATCAGGGCCCGTCCTCTGGATATTATAACGCCTCCTCTCTGCAGAACTCCAAGGACAACACCTATACGACAGAGGACGGTAGTCTGAGGTCGCAGATCAGCTGTTTGTCTCAGGAAGTGGCTCAGCTCAAAAGGCTCTTCTCTCAGCAGCTGCTCTCTAAGATCACTTAAAACCTGAACAGACCAAGATCAAACCCAGACTAAAACTAATGGACAGATTTCCCCTCACATCTTTCCAGAAAATTGACTTCACAGACTGCTGATTTCCACTGGCACCGATGCAAACAGACACCTCTGAAATGACAAACTTTATTTTCAACGCCTGTTTCACTGGAAAAGGTTAGTTTAGTGATCTGTTTGCTCTGTGATGGTCAGCGCACCACTGCCAGAAAAGACATTCATCTTTTAAAATAATGCTCAATGGAGGTGATTCATGTGTGGTTCATCGCGTCCTTGGATCATTTGAAACTGGCCGTACATCTGTGTGAACACTCAACTGAGCAGATCAGTTACAAACACTGGAAAAACATGTTGGATACTAACTATGAACACAGTTATCATTTGTTAGACTTCAGTCTCACCATGTTCAACACTAATGTAAACATTAACACATCTATCCACACGTGTCACACACCTTTTCTAAGACATACATTTTACATTTTTAACCTTTCAGCACAAGATATGTTGTGTATGACATTATCTTGTTTTAAATGTGTGATAAACGTGATAAGTATGACTTTTTGGACTGTACTGTGGTTTTGTGTTTGTTCACTTTATCTGTTTCTGGTTTATCTTAGGACAGCAAGATACATAGATATCGCCGTCACCATCACTGTTCAGAACTGTAACTGAATTGAACTGTATTTGAAAATAAAAGTATATTTTATCCAAGAACATGGTGAGTCTTTTATGACAAACTGAGATATTCTTAGTGCAATTTAAATGACTTACACATTACTGTTTTATTTGTTCTGAAAGCCACATGTACGTTAACACATCAACATGCAATATGCAAGACTTTTATGCAAGAAGTGTTTTTAAACTGCACTTTGCATTACATCACAGACTCAGTGTGGCTGGGCAGAGGGAGCTATGGTAGGCGTGGCACTGGAGTGAGGAGGTGCACTGCACAAGAGTATGAACATGACACAAGTGATTAACTGATATCATTTGGATTTTATTCATGGCCTTCCTTTCTTTGATAAATTCTTTAAAAATATAAACACCACCTCTGTGTCGGCCGGCTCGTACTGAACTAAGGTTACTGAATTGAAGGGGGACAGTGGGGTGTCGGACAGTGCCAGGGAGAGAGGGTGGCTGCAGGGAGAGGAGCGAGACTCTGCATGAGTCATCTATCACGTCAGCAGTAGAAAAGCTATTTTTAGGCTTGAGGCAGTTGCGGTGGAGACTGATTGGCCCACGAGGAAGCGAAGGATAGAGGTCCAGAATACATTCACACCTGGAAATAAAACAAATCTTGCAGATAGAAAGAAACATTTCCGTGAAATACATACTGATAACAGTGTGAAGCCAGAAAGCCGCAGTACATACACTGAATTATTGATTTTTGTGTAAAAATATGATTCATTGGACTGAATGTCATTCTTTATTAACACAATCTTTGATGTTTCCATCTTCAGCGCTAAGTATTTATTTATTTTTATCAACACCAGGTGGCGCCAAGTGTCTTTATCAGTATGGATCACCGACTCTCATTCATTCATTCACAGCAGTGTTACTACAGAGGTCATCTCCTCCATTGTGCTTCCAGTAGTACCACATGCTGCACATAGAGAACAAGCAACACTGTCATTTTGTGTTGGAAGCACAGCACTCCTACCTTCAAATTATCAATATAATTCATAAAGCAGAGTGTAAGCACAGGGTGCATCAGGCATCAGCAGACCTCTGCAGCTGGAAACCCCTTCTTTAAGCCGTGTCTCTGTTTCTCTCTCTCCACAACAACAACAACAAGATGCTCAGGAGCTCTTTTGTCTGTGATCAATCTTCATCCAGCCCAGTCTGCAACCCCCCGTGCCATGAGCCATATAGACGGGAGTGAGAGCCTTTTGGTTGCTAGGCAGGCACCACCACACCACCGCAGTTGCCAAGGGAATGCCTGCATGCAGAGGCAGCTGGAAAGATGGAGCAGTGTGTTGGGGGTTGGTGGTTCTAACAGAGGACTGGTGGGGGGAGGAGCTAGACAAGTTCAAGGCTGCCGATTCCCCAACATGGTATAATGGTGGTGATGATGGTGTGTGTGTGTGTGTGTGTGTGTGTGTGTGTCTGTGTGGAGACAAAGCAGGGGGAAGGGATATGAGTGAGAAAGTGGGATGGAGGTGGATGTGTGTCTGATACAAAACAGGGCTGACGTAACTGCAGATGAAATATGGTGGTGATGAGGACACCAGGCTTTGAGGGATAATAGAAAAGCTCCTAAGCAGATAATACACTTCCATTTTTCTGTATACATAAACAAAAACAAAGAAGATGAAATGGTGCATAAAATTAATGATACAATAATGTGTTAATTCATAATAAAGAAGATACATTTTTTCTTGTTTTATTTCATCTTATCACTGTCATGGATATTGATACTGATTTCATTGTAAATTTTTAAAGGGTGTGTTTTTACTGTTTTCTTTAAAAAAAAAAAAAAAAGTTCTAAACAAGCAACTAGCAAGATGGGAGATAGAATCAAGTATTTATTATTTCTATCATTAATTATGCCACAATCTTCCCACAGAGCATGGAAAAAAAAATGATGAATGTGGATTTTATATTAAGCAGGAAAAAAATTAAAAATACAAAAAAATAGCAAATAATAACACAAGAAAGACCTTAATGTGCGAACAAAGGGTTCAACGCTGCTGTCTGCCACTGCAAACATAACTCGGTTAACAGATATACAGGCTGAGGCCTGTCAGGATTCATTTATACTTATTTGAGAGAGAGACTTAAACGAGACACATGTGGGGTGAAAAAGAGGCATAGCTTTGTAATCCATTTACAATTATATAATAACAGTTACACAAGTGCTGTGGCTGTGGTGTTAGTTTTAAAACCATGCTGATATTGAACTTTATGTAGCAGCAACATCACACATTTCATTAAAGAACAAGAGTAGATGGCTTGTTGTCTTTACTTTCATAAAGAAAAGCTGATATTTTTCATTATACAGGGTAACAATAATAAGGTATAATATATGGTATATACAATATTTAAAAATACCATCAAATTGTACCATCAAGCTGTGGTGGGTAGCATTTACATCTTTTAAAAAAGTAGCGTTCAAGTTAATTCTATTTATAGCCCAGTATCTACGACGCCCTCTGTCCTTAAACTTGCCATGTCCTGCATTAACAATCCTATTGAAGTTAATATACACAAGTATTATCAGCAAATTACCCTTTGCTATTTTTAACTACTTTATATACTTTTGCACAGTTTAATCTGTAAAAAAATCATATTTTATAAGATGATTGTGTTCTTTATATAAAATCTTACTCACGTAACTAATAACTATATATGTCATATAAGTGTAGAAAAGGAAAAACGCAATATTTTCCTGAGTCTAGCGTAAGGTAAAAGTATTTGAAGATTGTATTTATCATCAATACCACCCCTGCTAGCAAACCCCTGCCTTTCATCAAGACACTGATCTCTGTAACTGACCTTGACCTTTGACTTGATTGTGGAGTGAAGAAATTGAAAGTTCAACTATCTATCCATCTATCTATCTATGGAATAGCATAATCATAATCTGTAATTTGAGCAGAGAGAGGAGAAAAGAGAGTTAAAAATGAAAGAAAAGCAGAGAGATTGGCAAAAGAAATGATGACTCTCATTTTCACTTAGGCCTATATCAACAGTATCAACTGTGTTTCTATAATTAGCCATGTCAAAAAATGGCTTTAATGCTAAATTTGTATGGCCTATATTACTGCATTATGTCTCTCACACACACACACACACACACACACACACACACACACACACACACACACACACACACACACACACACACACACTTATAAAGTTATACACAAGTATAACATACAGCACAAGTTTTTTGGGCCATTCAGTTTCCTTGGATTCACAAAAGGTCCTTCTCGGTCACTATCAGAATTAACTTTATCTTTCCCCCGTTAAACATAAAGTATCACCAGGTGAAACTATATAGACTTGATATTGAGAGGATATGTAACACTGACTCGTTGCTAACACAGCTGAAGGACATGCTGTTACATGCTATTATTGGACGTCTCAGTATAACATGGTGTCCGTGAAAACGCATTCATGCCCTTGTTATAAACTTAACCACTCCCGTAAAGAGTTGCTATTACAGCGCGGAGGAAAGATGTAGATGGAGGTGGAGAGGACAGAAAAGGAGAGGGTTTATAACACACAGAGAGAGACTCTCGCGCGGAGAGACAGAGGACAAAAACGTGACTAGGCAGCCTAAGAGCTGTTATGCAACCGCTGACCTACTAACACATATTTCTAGAAAGGGAGCCGGAGAAACTGGAGCAGTGTCCGGCCGCACACAACACACAGACAGCCCGAGCCAAAAGACCGAAACAGCATCCACCCGACCCACTGACTCAACCACAACTGACCGGAGAACCGACAGGAAACGAAGAAGAAAGTTTTTTTTCGTTTTACGGGAGGTTTCTTCTAAAGGGACAAGGAAAGGAGGAAACGGGAGCGAGACAGCTTTTGTGTCGGGGAAGCCTGAATCTTTTTTCCCCTCCTCCAGGACATGGAAAGGTATGTTAGAGTGAGCGCGGAGCCGCATTCCGCCCTTTGTCTTTGTCTGTTTGTGTCTCTATATGTTCCTCACTCGGCGTGGTTAAACACAGAGGTATATCAGCTCAGTGTGAGTGTGTGTAGACATGAGGACATGATGCTTATGGCCGGTTATTGTTCACATGGCGACTCTCTGCTCTACCGGCAGACCCGCGCGTGCGTCCGTGACTTTGAGACGTTTGCGGCTGTTTTTGTCACATTATTAAATCCGGCGCTCGCGGTGCTAAAAATGCTTCTTTGTTGCCGGGTTTGTCTCGTTTTCTTGCTTTGTTATTGACATGAAACATGTAGCAAGATTGGAAACGTAGCTGGCTATACTCCACATTATGTGCTCAATGTCAAGGCGAGGTAATTTCCCTCATGGTGGTGTTTTCCAGGGAATGGGGGCAGCTGCTGTAGTCGGGCTGTGTTGTCTGGTTAATGCAGACACACGGTGTGCTATATTAGCCCCTGCACGTGGCATGCTGCTGTTTGTATGTGCATGTTGTTTTCATGTTTTTCACTAGATGACTTTATTTTCTGAGATATTGATGAATCTCTCTCACCATCCACCTGATGCAAACATTAGGCTGAATTAAAGCGTGGCTTCTTTTAGGATACCAATTCATCTAAAGGCTATTGTTTGTGGCACATTTTTAACAAAACTGGTTCAATTTCATTTAAAAGTGGAGGGTATAGTTAAATTAAGAAAAGATTTTATGCAAAAAAAAAAACATTTTCTTGTCTATATCTATAGATATGCTGTATTCATTTGTAGGAGTGTTTGGATAGAGTGGATATACTACAGGGATCAAACGTGTAATGTAACATGTAACAGTAATCTACTATAAAATTGAAAAAAAAAAAAAAACTGAAAACAATTTTATGCTTAATTTTCCCTTAAATCTACTTTCCCCCAGATGTGAAGAACATTTGCTCCTGCTTTTAGGTTAAATCACTATCACACAATTAATGTTTAAGCTTAAAGGAGAAAACAAGCACAAAATGTCTGATTTCTGCTCAGAGTGA